GTTCAAAGTTAGTGTTCCCCATCATCAAAATCAAGTGCAAATGTTGTTCATCTGTTATTGCTGATCTGTAATGAGACTTTACATATTTTATCTTTGAAAAATCTATTTTCAAACAGATAGTTACTGCCAAATACTGATATCAATCCATGAGAATTTGGTTTTAATTGCACACATTCATCACTTGGAAAGCATTTACAGAATTCTTTTAGATTCTTATCTTGATATTTTACTTTAAGCAGGTCATTACATTGCAGATTAATCGCTTCCAATTGAGGATTAAGTGGAAATTCCCCAATTCTACAGTTAAATGAATTTTGAAATGTGGAAATTTCTTTTTTACTTTCACTGAGCTCCAAAGAATGTTGCTGAAACTGTAGTTTGAGCTCAGAAAAATCTATTCACTGCAAATTTGTGTGGGAATGGAGATCTTGTTCTTATGTTAACTTTTAACAGAACAGGAAGTATATGTTTCACATATAAGCTGTATTTTGCCTTGTAATTTTGGACTGAATTCATTAAAAATACTATCAAATCTGCAGCAAAAGTTCATTTCCAAAACCATTTAGTGTCAAATAATAGTAGTTGAGTATACTTCTCATTCAAAAAAAACTTCAATCTCAGTTCTGAACTAAAAAAAAAAAACATAATTTTTTTTCCTCTTCTTGTTTTGATATGAGGTGTATGAATTGATAATTAAGGGGAAAAAAGCCATGGTATGGCTATGCACATGGCATTCAAAATGCTGTTGAATTATAACTGCATCACTGATTTGTAGTACGCTGAGCAGCAGTGCGAAATGATGAGAAAGTCACATATGGTATCCTATACAACTATTCAACTCTGCTGTTGCAGCAGAAAAGCAATCATAAATAGTGAGTAAACAAATGAGGGTGGCTGTGTTCCAGTAAGATTTTATTTCCAAATGTGAAAACCATTCTCAGCTTACAATCCATACAAAGACAGTGTGTGGGTTAGATTTGGCCCATGGGGCACAGTTTACCAATCCCTGCTTCAGTCTACGGGTTGGAACTCATGGTCACTGAGGTCCCCTCCGACTCACAAATTCTATAACTCTGTGAAGACTTGGGGGTGGGAAAGGACAGGCTGAAGTGGCCGGCCCAGTTTGATTAGAACACAGTTTGTGACAGGAAGTTGTATCAAATAAGACCGAAAGGTAGGATGAGCCAGATTGTGAAGAGCCTTACTTGTCAAGCTGAGTTTTTATTTTATTCTATTGGTCATAGGTAGCCACTGAATATTTTTCAGTGGCAAATGGTACGTACTAACATTACTTTGACACTCTGAAAGAGTAGACTGTAGATAAGAGAGAATGAGGGCAGTAATTACCAGTTAAGACAGTGTTATATAAAGGCGATGAAGGTTTATAACAGGGCAGTGGCAATGGAGTTCTGATAAACTTATGGACACAAGAGATATTGTAGAGATAGAAAGGAAAGGGTTGGCAACTGATTGGATGTAGCGAGAGAGGGAAGAGTCAAGGATGACTAAAAAAATGGTTGTGCCTTTAACTGAAGTGGAGAAGTTGGGAGAGGATACAGGTGTGTTGGGGAGAAGATGTTATAGCTATGTTGAATTTGAGGTGTGGTCAGGACATCAGGGTGGTATACAGCAGGCAATTAAAAATGCAACTGGCTTTGGATCCAGGGATTGGATAAATCTAGCTGGAGCTAGATAAATAAATCTAGGAGCCATCTGCATAAAAGTGATAATTAATGCCACAAAGCCAAACTAGAGGGGACCTCAGAGGCCAGATAGTTTAACACTCTTATTTTTCAGATGAGGAAACTGAGACCCAGGGAAGTTAAGTAATTTGGTAAGTAAAAGAGTAATGTATGCACAAGGATGAAATGCCCCCCAAAAAAAAAGAACAGGCAGAGAAGAGGAGATAGCCTTTGTAGACCTTCATGCCAGGGGCCAGGAGGAGGAAGACCCACTGTTGAAGAAGACTGACTCACAGTGTTTAGACCAGTATGGGAAGCAGGAAATAAAAGTAGCACAAAAGCCAAGTGAGGAGGGATCGTCCAGGAGGAGAGAGTTGTCAACAGTATTGCCTGGTCAAAAAAGGTCAAGAAACGTCGGAATGAGAAAATATTATATGTCTGTCCACTAAAAAGCCATTGTGAACTTGGAGACAGCAGTTCCAGTTGGTTGGTGGAGACAGAAGCCAGTCTCCTGGCCGTTCCTTGAACAAGACACTATCACCCAGATCTAGGCATTTTCCCTTGACTGTCCCCCATGCCTGGAACACTCTCTCTTCTCATCTGCATCTCCGGATTCCCTCAAATCCCAGCTAAAATCCCATGTTCTACAGGAAGCCCTTCATCATCCCTTTTAATTCCAATGCCTTCTCTCTGTTGATTATCTCCTTTTTATCCTATATATAGATTGTTTACACATAGGTGTTTGCATGTATATTGTCTCCCCCATTAGACTCTGAGCTTCTCAAGGGCAGGGACTGTCTTTTGCCTTTCTTTGTCTCCCCTTAGCTTAGCCCAGTGCCTGGCACTCAAATATTTATTGACAGAATTGAGGTGGTGAAGAAATCAAGGTGCACTCCTCTCTCTAGAAGTTTGCCAATAAATGGGAGGAGAAAGATAAAACGATAGTTTGAAGGAGTGGTAAGGTGGAGTAAAGACTTTTTTTTTTTTAGCATACAGGAAACCTAAGCATGTTTGCAGGTAGCAGGAAAGAAGCCAGTAGAGAGGGAAAGATTGAGTAAGATCCCAACAAAGGTGAGCAGGCATAGGACGGAGGGCACAAATGGAGAAATCAGCTTTGACAAAGAGAAGAGCTGCCTCATCCTCTGAGACTGGAGGGAAGGGCAGAGAACAGTTTTCAGAGGAGATGAGGGAGTTCACAAGAGACAACATCGATCCTCTCAGTGAAGTAGGAGGCAAGGTTATCTGCTGAACAAGGTTAAGGATTTGAGAAGAAAGGAGAGTTTGGAAGGGTTGTTAGGATCAAGTCATCTTTGGGGAATGTGAAAGGAAGTTAATGGAAGAAGAAAAAAGAATTTCTGTCAAGCCTGTAACTAAGGCAGGGCATCAAGGATCATACTCTCAGCCACCCTCCAGCTCATCCCAAGCCATGTGGTGCTGACCACCCTACACTCTCCCCAGCTACCAGGCTACCACCCTCAGAGACCTGCCACCTTGGCACCACCTTGGGCCACCCTCCCCCAGGGGCATCAGTCCTTGCATATTTTAGACTCTTTGGAAGATGAGCTAGTACTCCTTCTACCAACATCCAGTGTTGAAGGTAGAGGAGGACGGTTCTTGGGACCCACATTGCCTTTCGCTGGGAGTGACTGTGAAATTTCTCCCAGTCATAGAGAAGCCTGGAGTGGTATCCTGGGGTCATTCTCCTCACAGATCATTGTGTCTGTCCCTCAACACTATATGCCCTCACCCCTATATGCCCATAGTTTGCAACAAAAAGGACCCAGTAAGGGTTAACTCCCATAAATAGGCCTGTGTGTTTTCTTCCTGAAGTGCTCAGAAACTCTGACAAAGGAGCAGAACAGCCAGGAGTACCAGGATTTAAAGCTGGATAGACTACAGAGATACAGACTAAGCACATCATCTAAAAGATGAGAAAAGAGAGTTAAATGGCTAACACAAGGTCATACAGTAAAGGAGCACGTAGCAGAGGAAGAGCAGTGAGTGGAAGGGTCAAGACTCAAACCAGGTCTTCTGACCCTCTACCACATCCCACTGAGAGAAGGAGTTACTTAGGGATAGGAATGAGCAAGATGAGAACAGCAGAAGATCAAGGTACTCAGCTGGGAGCCTTATACAAAACAAGCTCAGAAAAACTTGAATGAATGAATGAATGCATTTCTAGCACTAATTCTGTCCCAGTTCCAGCCATAATCCCAATCCTAATGTTAAGCTAGCTAAGCATGTCTCTAACACAGGCCCTGACTTCGACCCAAATTCTAATCCTAACAGTAACCCAAACCTTAAACCTAACCTGATTCTAACAAAGTTGACTCTGACCTCAATACTAGCAGTGACTTTCACCTTAACTATACACCAAATCCCAATCAAGATTTATCATTCATGCCAGAAAAGCAATATGGTAGAGGGGAAAGAGCCCTAAACTTCTGAGTCAACAGGAACATGGTTTTAAATCCTGCCCCTGGCACTTACTAGCTAGCTGTATGACCTTAGACAAGTCACCTCACTTCTCTAAGTATCTAAGTACCCTCAGTATCCTCACCTGTAAAATGGGGGCACCTACCTGTAGAAGCAGCACAGGACATTGGGAAGAAGACTACCTTGGAAGCAGGAAGACCTGGGTTCAAGCCTTGCCTCTGACACATACTACTGAGTAACCATGGGCAAGTCCTTTTTTATCTCGACTATTAATTATAGATTTATAATTAGTGATATCCAGAGAGCTCCAGAACATATCCAGGGGTTTCCCAGAACAATGAAATCTTCAATCTATGGGCCTCATAAGAGTTGTTGTAAAGATTAAATGAGGTTATGGATAGAAATCACTTTGGAAATCATAAAGCCAATGTAAATGTCAGTTACTGTTAACCTAAACCAAATTCTGTCCCCATCATCACCCAATGACTCTGTCCCTGGTGCCATTTAGGAACTAGTTGGCCTAAGTACTCATAGCTGAAGAACCATCAGGACGCAGGTTCTCTGCATCAAAAAGGGACAGTACCTGGACAGGCATTCTTTCTCTATAGGGTACCTGCCAAGTGCCCATCTAGTTTCTGCCGGAAGACCTCAAGTGATGAGGAATCTAGCAGTCCCTCAGGAAGCAGGCCGTTCCAACTTTTAGACAACTGTTGATTATAAAGTTCTTTCCCACTTAGATACAAAGCCAGAGAACACATACGGGGGCCCAGCATGGACTTCCCCTTATCCTGTCTTGAATTGCCCTTCCTGACCCCAGCAGGGGATTTCCTAGCCGTGCTGCCCCTCCCCTTGCCATTGCTATAGTCTCTTCTGGGCCACCATGGGAACTTCCCAGGCTCAAAGTCGCAGTAAGTGAAGAAATCTACCATAGTAACAGCCACTTGGGAGTCTGCTACCCCGCCTGTGACTGAGGATAAAGGGCAGGCAGCTAGACTAGCAGTGAGTATTCAGCCTGCAGAGCCCTGAGACCAGTACAGGGAGGGCTCTACTTTGCCCTGGGTGAGGCCACCTCTGCTTCCCAACTCCGGGCAGTTACTGGAACAGATTTGGTCATAGGATCTTACATTTTAGAACTGGAAAGAGAGACAATCTAATCCAACCTTCTCATTTTACAGTGAAAGACTGGGGAGTGAAAGTAGGGGCCCAGGAGCCAGGACACCGGAGTCCCTTCTCCAGATCTCTGTTTGTGGAGTGAACATTTTGGGCCATCAACAAAAGAGGTAAGGATGAGAATCTGGGGGGGTTGTTGGAGGGGTGGGGAGCACCGTGAAAGGGCAGAGTCACAAGATAAATGCTGTTGTAGGGGAGGAACAGCATTTGGAGCTCTACTATATCCTGATCCATGAAGAGTGAGGATTCTGGGGTCCTACTGTCATCTCCAACTCCCTAGGTAGATGCCCTTCCTTCTCTGAGAAGGAAACTAGGAGAAATCTTTGGGTTGCACCCTGCTCCACTCACAATCAAGAAGACTGGTCCCCAAGTATCTGAGAGGTGCTGATGTATGGTGACCTCCCCAAATCACAGGAACACCACCAGCACCCCCCAGCCAACCTGTCTTTCCAGTTGTATGTGCCAGGGCTGAACCTAGGATTCCCCAGCTAAGTGATAGCCCCTGATGGGGCTACGTGGGAGGAACCTTATGTCCTGGTCTAGTTGTGCCTGACACATTTCACCCAGAAGCAGAAGGACCACTAGCAATGATAGAATATCCCTTTATTTTGGCTTCTGTTTACCCCTTCTGGCGAATGAGGAAAGTCATCCTTAGCCTTATTGCCCCGAACTGGAGAGTGAGGAGGTTGTGTCCATGAGGAGCTTTGAGATCATTTGAACAGAGGGCACTCTCCTAGACATGGGAGGAGAAGGGAGGAGACAAAAGACTACAGAATTAACTCCACTAAAATTGTTCAACTATGTACGAGGGCTTAAGGGTCAGATGAAGGAAAGGGATTTACACAGGGTTCCCAATTAAGCATGACAAACCAATGCTTCTTTATCCTGATCCCACCCTGTTCAGGAAGGACTGCTGAAAGGAGAGGAGGAGAGATGATGGGACCCCTCCCTGTGCCCTCAACAGGTCCATGAACTATGCCTGGCAGAGCAGGGCATGACTGAAGAGGATGGGAGAAGCAGAGAAGAGAGGATGGGGAGTGATAGGAAAATGGAGGTCCTCCATAAGGTGTGGCCAGGCTCCACCAGGCCTCCTCTGGAAGCCAATGGCAAAAGGTGGCTTGGTACCAGGACATGAACTTACTCCTATACTGGGAAGAGGGGGAGATGCATATATAAGCCCCTACCCACACATCCTGCTCTGTCTAACCCATTCTACCCTCTTCAGGTTCCCTGATCCTAGGTTGGACCATCTGGGACCTCTATATCTTAGTTCCATGTCATCCCTAATCAGAAGAGGTAGGGAGGACACAAAGGAGATGAAGCCAACTCCAAGGTCATGGAGTTCCAGTCTGGAGAAGACAGAATCCTTAATCACCTCATTCAATCTCCTCTTTTCTCCTGGCAGGAGTGGAACCTTCTCATCCCCTACAACCCAAATCCTCTTACCAGGGTCAGCATCATACTCCTGGACTTTACCTTTAATTGTCTTGATTCTTACAGCCTCTTCCCTGAGGAAGGCCCTTTTGCCAGGGCTCAGCAATGTTGCTCTGGGGGTGCCTTTTCATCATGCTGGATGTCCTGCTGCAGCCTGAGTTGAGAGCAGGTGTGCTCAGGGAAGCACCCATGGGAGTCTCAGGGGAGACTCCCATGGTCTGTCTAGAGGGCTAGGGTTGGGGCATCTGACAGCTATCTCCCTGTGTTCAAGAGGAAAGTAAGTCCCAGAGGGATAGGGATTTGGGGTCAATATTAGGAATGTAAGTCCCAGAGGCATGTGGATTTGGGGTCAACATTAGGAATGTAAGACAGAGGGTATGGGATCGGTAGGAACTAGTAATTCTAAATTTGGGGAAAGAGGTGAGTCCGGGGTGGAGGAATCTAGAAAGAAGGAAGTGGGGGCAAAGGGAAGATTATGGTATAATAGAGAGATAGGCTCTGCCACTGATTTATTGTATGACTTTGGAAAAGTCACTTCTTCTTTGGCCCTCAGGGTTCTTATCTGAAAAAGTATCTTAAAATCTGTGGCCTAAAGTCCCCTTTAGCTCTTGCATAAAGGGGTGGGAGTGAATAATCTCTAAGGCCCCTCCCAGCTCCAATATCCTATACCTCTGTGACTGGAAGCCTAGATCCCCACATGGTAATGAGTAAGAGAATTCCCCAATTCTTTGGATGAAAAATTCATTCAAGTCCAACAGAATGAGGCAAGGAGGAGAGGGGAGAATTTGAAGAATGCAAGCCTCTAAGCCATCATCTTCCTCTTTCCCTACAGCATCCCTGCCTTTGCATATGGACTCAGTTATCCAGATCCTAGCACAAATAGAACAAGAAGCCCCCGCTCTTCATCTCACAGCCCCTGGTCTACTTTTGATGTCTGGGAGTCCCTTCGACTTCTTCCAGCATCTCCTCCTTTCAGGGGCCCCGTCTCCAACAGAGCTCCAGCTTGACCTTCTTGGTCCAGAACTTCGAGCATTAGCCACCAGCTTAATCCAGCACCGAGTGGGCTCTGGGCAAGAGCATGGGGTAGTACTAGCACCAGATGGCTCCACAGTGGCTGTGGAGCCCCTTCTGGCAGGGCTCCAGATTGGGCTCCATGGTCGGAGGTCTATCGCCATTCCTCAGGAGTTCAGAGCTTCCCCTTCTGAAGTTAGAGATGCTCACAAGAAAGGACTTACATTGGCCCCTCAAGTCAGCACGACTCCCCAAGATGTTGGAGACATTTCCCTGGACCCCAGCATTCTCCCAGATGTCCATGCTAACTCCCCAACCAGTGTGGATAATCTCCTGGCTGTCACTCTGGCTAGAGCATTAGGCATAGCCTTCCTCCCAGGCCCTGGGACCCAAACTCCCAAAGGCCTTGGGCCTGATGGCTGTTGGGACCAAATCTCAGCCCCCAAGACCTTTTCCCTGTCGAGCTCTGAGGCCCCTTCTGCCCTCACTGTAGCCTTCCTCAATGGGGCACTAGATGGGGCCCTGCTAGGGCACTACCTGAGCAGGGGCCCTAAACCCCCACCACCACTCAGTCACCTACTGACCCAGTACTATGGAGCAGGGGTGGGTGGGGATCCCCAATTTCGGAGCAACTTCCGCAGGGACAACGGGGCCAACCTGACTTCACAGGAGGCCCTAGCCCAGCAGGTATGGGGCTCCTTGCTCTTGATACAAGAGTTAGAGCCCTCTCACCCCCAGCTGGCAAATCTATCCCAAGCCCAATTGGCTGAAGTTGCTACCCAAGCTGCCAAGGAGTTCACTGAGGCCTTCCTGGGTGAGGTGGAATCTGTTTTCACATGTATACACACACACACCAGGAACTATTGTTAAGCAATCAAAGAGGCCTTTCTAGTAGGAGATACCCCAGCTGTTAGACTCAATCACTTCCTGCCTATGGGGGGCAGGGGAGGGTGAGAAGGAAGGAGGAAGTTGGAGGGGGGGGAGGGAGTGGTTTCCACTGGGATTAACCAAGATATATTCTGGGAGCTATCCCAGATAGAACGGAGTTACAATAGGTCAGACCTGGAATTTCTGGAACTTGCCTTGTTTTCAGATGTGGAAGACTCTTGTCCAGCCCGAATGTTTTGAGAAAGGCAGGACAGCCCTTGGTCATTGGGGCCTCACTAGCCCAAGTTCCAAAGTCCCTCTGGCTCTGTCATCCTGTGGTCTGCTTGACAGGAACTGGATTTAGAGTCAGAGGGCCTGGGTTCAAATCCAATTTCTGCTAACTGTGTGTCCTTAAGCAAGTCACTTAAACTCTTCAGGTCCCAAGTTGACTCCTCTGTTAAAAATAGACTAGAAGACTCCTCATGTCTGTTCCAGCTAAAATCTATGATCCTGTTTCCTAAAGTCCCCTTCAGTTCATACATTCCTTGTTGTAAAGTCTCTCTTGACACTGACATAGGTATTCTGAACTCTTCATCCACTCTGACATCCTATGTTCTAGACCAATTTCTAGAAGACCTAAACTAGAGACTAGACAGGTAAACCAGGGCCAGAACCAGATGCAAGCAGAAAAGGAGGCAAAGATTCTTCACTGGAGCAAATTAAGTGAGAAAGGCTGGACCAAAAGTGAGAGACAACAACCACAAGTACTAGGTTCTGTGCTGGTTTGTACTGGGCCACTAGCCTCAGATGCCCTTGCCCTAAACACCTCTAATTCTGAGGCAGGAGGTCAAGTTGAGGCAGAAGGGGACTCTACCAGGGCTGGGTGTGTGTGTGGTTGACTCCCTCTGAGGAATTATGTGAAGTTTTGGGACACTTGTTATAGGTGAGACACCACCCCTCCCCTCATTTCCCCCTTCACTGTCAGAAACACATTGACGTTGGTATCTCATCTGTCACCCAGAATGTCCAGCCATCTTGCCCCGCTGTCGCTGGGAAGCAGCTCCTTACCGAGGGAGTCCCAGGATGCTGCATCTTCCTTTGGGGTTCCTCTACGTGCACCACACCTATGAGCCCCACAAACCCTGCACCAGCTTCTCCCAGTGTGCTGCTGACATGCGAAGCATGCAACGCTTCCACCAGGACACCAGAGGCTGGAATGACATCGGCTATAGGTGAGGAAGCAGAGGTAAAAGGGAGGGAGGCAAGAGGGAATGGAGACTACAGTGAGGCTGGGATAACAGTGGACTGTATGAAACCTAGTGTCCAGATGAGGAAGACGATGACCCCACTGCATTTATTAATCAATAAGCATTTAAGTGCTTAGCATGTGCCAGGCAATGGGTTAGGTGGGAAGAAAGGCTGGGGATAAAAAGATAACGAAGGAGTCCTCGTCCTCAAGGATTTTACACTCTATTAGGACATATATAGAGAAACAGACATAGATATAATGTATATATGTACATATATTTATATCTATATGGAGAAGGAAATGGCAAACCACTCTGGTATCTTTGCCAGGAAAATCCCAAATGGTACATAACTGAAACAAGTGAATAACAATCTATACATACATACATACATATGCAAAATAAATAGAAGATAATTGAAGGGGAGGCCAGATGAGGGAAGACCAGCAAAGGTGTCAAGCATAAGGTGAAACTTGGGTTGATCTTTGCAGGAAATCATCCATTCTATGATATAGAGAAGTAGAGGTGAAATAGTGTATGGGGTGGGGAGGCGGGGCACGGAGAAAAGAAAGGGATTGTGGTGTCTGAAGAAGAGTTGTAGGCTGGTCAGAACTCCTCCTGGGGCATGGAGATCTGTTTTTTGGGCACCATATTTTAAGGATGGGGGCAGCAGAAGCTTTTAATGGAATCAGAGAACCTAGTAGGAATCCCAGTTCTGACACTCCTGATTGTGTGACATTGGGTAAATCACCTAACCTTTCTGACCCTCCTTTTATGGATGAGGGGGTTGAATTAGAACGATGACTTTCAAGGTCCCTTCCAGTTCCAAATCCTATGACAAGCAGAGCAACCAGAACAAGGAGGCGAATTGAAAGCAGACCATAAGAGGAGGCAGGGAATGTTTAGAAGAAAAGAGTTAGGGGACATATATTCCCTGTTTTTAAACAGCCCAGAAATTGTCAAGGGGAGGACAGGGCAATCTTGTTCTATGTGCCGTAAAAGGAAGCAAGTGGGCCCTATGGGTGTTAATTAAAGAGAGGCAGTTTTCAGGTCAGAACCTGCCCCAAGTGGAATGGGCAGTCTCGGTGGGTAGTGAGCTGCCCATCTCTAGAAGTGTTCCAGGGCAGGCTGGATCACCCCTGCTCAGGGAGATTAGAGAAGGGATGCCCTCTGAGCTTCTTCCCAGGTGGGCAAGGATCTGAACGGGTGAAGCGCAAGGACGGAGAAGGGGTACCAGGCGTAGGCTGTGCCAGATGCCCGCCCTCACCCTCTCGTACCTGCGCCCTGGCAGCTTCGTGGTGGGCACGGACGGCTACGTGTACGAGGGTCGGGGCTGGCACTGGGTGGGGGCCCACACCCTCGGCCACAACTTCCTGGGCTTCGGCGTCTCCATCATCGGCAATTACACCGCCACACTTCCCGCGGCCCACGCCTTGAGGACCGTGCGCGACACCCTTCCACGCTGCGCCCTGCGCGCGGGCTACCTACGGCAGGACTACATTACGCAAGGCCACCGGCAGCTAGTCCGCACCGACTGCCCAGGGGACGCCCTCTACCGGCACATCAGCACGTGGCCGAGCTTCAGGGTGAGCGCCCCACGGCCCCAACCCCGGCCCTTTTCCGGACCGCGACCGTCTGATTCCAGGCTCCGCCCCCATGCCTTCCTCTGGCTCCGCCCCCAGCCCAAGGTCTGACTGCCCCATCTCTATTTTCTGTCTCTTCCCCTGGTCCCAACTCCACCCCTCAGCCCAATTCCGCCCTGATTCCGCCCACAGCTGGTCACGGCCCGTAGCCTGACTCCTGGCTCCTACCAAGACCCTAGTCTTCCCAAACTTCATCTCAGGCAGCTGCCCTATCCTGGCCCTTGACTCCAACCCCCCCCCATTCCGACCTGACTGCCCCAAGGTGGTCACTGCCCCAAGCTGGTCACTGCCCCAAGCTGGTCACTGCCCCAAGCTGGTCACTGCCCCCTAGCCTTACTCCTGGCTCCTACCAAGACCCTGTTTCTTCTCCTAGTTAGTCTGAACCGCATTCCAGACCGCTTCCCAATCCTTACCCCTGACTCCACCCCCAGAACTAGCCTCAACTTTATTTCCTGCACCCTAACTGACACCATTCCGGTACTTAAACCAACTATCTCCATCCTCTCCTCCGACCTTCTGGTCCTACTCTCCCTCCTCCCTAGCTCAGGCGGAAGTCACAGGTCCAGCCCTTGGCCGGGTATGAGATATATAGATTTTTTTCTCCTCCCCATACCCACCCTGCCCCCCTCCGCCGCCCGCCAGAGTCCTAGGACCTTCTCTGAATATTGCCATCTTTTCTAGGAGGTGAAGAAGAAAGCTTAAAGAAGAGATATCTATCAGTCTCCTCAACCCGCTAAATACAGAGGCTGCAAAGAGGAGAACTGAGTCCTTAAGTGTGCGAAGCAGGGTGTTCTCAGACCACTAGCCTGGGAATCAAAGCTTGCGTTCTATTTCCAGCTGTCACTAATTCTCTGCATGACCTTGGATGAGTCATTTCCTTTCCTCTGGGGTCTCAGCTTCCTCATATGTCAAATGAGAGTGTGGGGGGCGGAGGGAGGGGCGGCGGAATTATACTGGCTGTGTTTGGTGATTTCTCAGTCCTTCTGAAGTCAGGACATTCTATGCTTACTATTCTTGGGTCCCTTCCAGCTCAAATAAGCAGTATTATAAGATTCCCCCCCTGCTCTGACTTTGCGCTCTAAGGTCCTCCCAAGTGGCGACATCCTGAGATTATTCCCATTTACAAATACTTAAGCATGTACATACTTATTCTTAAGAAGGTACTTAAGTGTCTGAATGTGTTTCCTGGGGAGGAGAGTGAGGACACAATGGTCCATCGATCAATCAGTCAATAAACATTTATCAAGTGACTACCTTGTGCCACGGTGCTAAATGCTGAAGATACAAATACAAAAAAGCCAGACAATCCCCCAGTTAATTTACAATCTAATGGAAGAACACAACGCGAAGGGAAAAAAAAAAAAAAACTGGGGCATGGTGGAAAAGTCCGAAAATTCCCAAAGTAGCCCAGCCAGGTGAGAAATGAGATGTTTCAGGTGAGCTCCCTCCATTTAATGGAGGTTTGGGAGTAAATGTCTCCACCCTCGAATCAGAAATGGAGGCGGGAGGGGGGGGGCGGTGAGGAGGGGGCATACCAAGGCAGATGGGATCTTGCTGGACTTGTCCCAATAACAAGCTTCCTGGAGCACAGGTATCTCTTATGTCAGAAAAGTCAGAGGTATCCCAGACTAGTCCAGCCAGGTGAGAAATAGAGAAAGCACATAACAACACTGAGATTTATATCTGGATTTTTCAGGGCGTTTCACCTATATGATCTCATTTGAGCTTTACAAAAACCCTATTATATAGGTACTGCAGGTATTATCCTCATTTTACATATAAGGAAACTGAGGCCCAGAGAGGTTATGATTTACCCATGGTCTCACAGCTAGTAAGTGTTGTAGTGGGTATTTGGACCCAGGTCTTCTTGACTCAATCCAGAAAGCAATCTGCTAAACTGCCAAGACAGAACTCTGGTGCCGAGGCTGCCACACACACTCCCATATAGTCATCTCTGGAGAGCAGGTGAGTGGCAAAGATTGTTCTCCTTGATTGGCAAACCAGCTTTCTCCTCTTCCACATGCCAATGTGGCTCTAGTGAGTTGTACTGTGTCCATGAGGGTGGCCTGAAAGGTCACCTTGAAGTCATAACTTCCTTCTTTCTCCCCCCCCACCCCTTCACCCCCCATTAGGTAATATGGATCTGGTGCATGTGCAGACCCCATCAGCCTGCTAAGATGGCCTCTCCATGTGGAAGACACTAGGCTTCTAGTTGAATCATGATAGCATGTGAGGGAAGTGCATACATGGACATTCCGTAACTGGTTCCAGTTGATTTACCATGTGGTTGGGAGGAATTTTTTTCCACTGGCTATGGGCCTCTCTTTGTAGTCCGAGATGGTCTGGTGACTCACTCACAGTGTCCGGTAAGACTATACAGTAAGGGGCCTTAAGGACTGTAACCACCTCCAGGCCACATTGCCCTGAGAGAGAGGGTGTCTGAGTCCTTGGCCACCTAAGCAGACAAAGGATTAAGGCCCAAATTCACGGAGTCATGTGTTGGCCTCCAAGGGAGAGGGCCCAAGGCCTTTCCCCTTACATCCTTGTGTCTCAGTGTAGACAGCAAGGTAGTCAGACCAAGAGCAGAGGTCCAGCCAAGAGAGAGCAGTGGACACATCTAGTGTACTTTTTAATATCTCCACAGCCAGTTAAAGAGCATTCTATTCACCACGTAGTTAGCCAACCAAAACCAGTTACAGAATGCTCCAGTCACTCCAAGGCCATTACACATCCATTACAAGGCCATTACACACGTCCATTACACGTCACCACATCTCTCCTGGAAGGACACTCCCTAGCTTCTCCATGTGGAAAAGTCATCTCAGCAAGCTGATGGACTTCACATATGTGTCCAATCCCCACTAGACTTGAAACATTAATTTACAATTTACCCATCAACAAAAGGAAAACTTGACATCGACCTTAAAGTTAACAAAGCACTTGTTTACATCATCTTATTTGTTCCTCACAACAATCCTTCAGTGTAAATACTACAATTATCACTCTTCATTCCCATTTCAGAAATTAGGAAGCCAAAAATCAGACTAATTAGGTCACTTGACTGTAGTCAGGAAACCATTGAATTCTGCAGGTGAGATTTGAACAAAGGTCTCTCTTGACTCAAAGTTTAGCCTTCTTTACAGTTTTTCATAGAGTAAGACTATTCCACCCAACCTGGTGTCCTTTAACCTAGAACCTCCTAGAGCCAGCTAGCACTGCCATCTCTATTCAGTACCGCTTGTCAACTGATAGCACCCCTGGGACCCATGAATATTACCAGCCAAGCCTGGGATGCCAGCTCTATGACCTAGTTGGTAACCCTTGAAGAGGGGAAAGAGGAAGTGCCAGGGATGAGGCCTGAATTGCCATGACACTTCTGCCCATCAATGCCAGGCTCTTCGCTGGCTCATTCCAGTCTATCCCCCTCAAGCCCCATCCCTGGTCCCTGCCACCCATCCCTGGAATCCACTATGATTCCCAGTTTTTCTGGCCCCAGGGCTCACAAAAGGAGTGAGAGTCAGGAAAGAATTGTAGAGCCAATTAACTCTTCCTCATGACCAGGGCAACCTCCATCATGGGATGAAGTTAGATTATGATAGGAAGGCCTAGATCATCATTGCCTATGGAAAAGCATCATTAAAAATAACTCTACTCTAAGTATAGCAACTATCTCAGTCTCTGCCTCGGCTTCCTAAGATACTTATGTGTGAGAATCTTGCCCAGTGGTCAAGTGGGCATAGTACCAGACGAGCAGAATCATACAGACACTCTCACTATAAATGAACCCAGAAGGGATAAGGAAGTTGTAGTTAAATAAAACATGGCCCTCCTTGAAGAAGCAAGTAAAGGAGTTGGTTTTATCATGAGTACAAAGGTAATAAGAAATATCATCTCATGAGACCTTTGGTTATTTCAGATTATAGTACTACATAAGAAAAAGATCACCATTCAAAGATAACCATTTTGTGTTTACCAATATATTTTGCAGAAGATGATTAAGCAGATAAATTGTATAAAGAATTGAAGGAGACTCTCTCCAAATTAAGTCGACGGACTCAATACAAAGATGTGCAATCAGGAAGGATGGTGAAAAACAAGTTGGAAAATGTGACTCAAGAATAAAAAATGAGAGATGCTGAAGGCTTGTAGACTGAACAGAAGCTTCACAGTGATAGAGCAGGAATACTTTCTTCAAGAAGTGAGTTAGAAGACCCTGGACATGGACGGCACCAAATAGCATCACTGCCACCCCATCCCCCAGTGAAACTGATTGTATCTTAGCAGAAAGGAAATGACTAGTTACTGATTTCAGTGCATAGTCATTTCCAAATCATCTGTGTACAGATTAACTTGACCATTAACTTGATAGATGATGATCAAAATCAGCACTAAATTGGAGTAAAGGTTGAAAGTGAGAGACATATCTAGCAAACAATTAAAACAGTTCTAAACTGATCTTTTTTTTGAATCATTAAATTTTATTTTTCATTTATGGAATAAAACAAGCATATACAATAAAAAAAAAGATGATTGCACATGAAACTGCAAATCTGCTATGCACAATTTGCTATTCCTTTCAAATATACAACAAAATACCACCTTTTTTAAAAGTAGTTGACAAAAAAAAATGAGAAACAGACGACCATACACAGACTGTCATCATTTACCATGGAAACTTAACTTATGTAAAGCAATCACCACAAGAAGGTACACAGATTCTAGAAACCACCTCACTTACCAAATGTTTGACCTCCTTGCCAAACAGAGAGATAAGGCCATCAAAGGCAATAGCATTTTAGATTATTAACTCATTTGCTAAACTTTACAGAGAAAGAGAATGGAAGATTACTAGTAATATTGCCTCACAAAACAGCAAAAAGTCATGTTTGTGTTGTAGGGGACAAGAAGACAAGTTTGCTGAAAGGTAAGTGAGTAAGACTCAATTAAGTCAGAGCATCCCAAGAAGAGTTAAAGAGGAAACTGGAGGAAGGAAAACAGATGCAAAATGGAAAAGATCTATCAAAATTTCATCGTAGTATTGCTTTGCAGGCACAAGAATTCTTATAATTTATGCCATTAGACATTTTGGAAAGAAACTTTGGGAGGCTGTGTGTGTAGTTGATTAGGACTGTTTCCTAGAGATTTTTCAGAAGGCAGAAGAAGAGAGAAAGATGAGATGATCTAGAGGAGCAAGAGTATTCTCCATCTGGAGGGAGAGAGACATGTAGGGAGTGAGACATGTAGGGAGTTTCCTGCCTTGCATTTGCATCCACAAAAGACTTAGGAGAACAAGGGATTTTGGAGGTCCTGCTGTGGTAAGTGTGGCCCCTGTATTGTGGACTGATTCCCGTTTGGGAGAGACAGCCCCCCTCATAAATGTATCCCCCTGCCCCATGGCTCCAAGTGGAGGGAGAAGGCCATGATGAATTGTCCCCTTTGCAGTATCGAAGCAAAGAAATCACTGGAAGTATTTCCTGCCTGAAGTGATCAGTGTCCTGTCCTCCCCCCACGCCAAACACTGAGTGTTCTGTTTGCTCCCTCGTTGCTTTTCTGATTTGTTTTCCCTAATACGTAAAAATAATTTAGCGCTCTATCCTTGGTTATGTGATTATTTGGGGAAGTGGGAAGGTAGAAAAGGTCTAGAATAAATGCAATAAATATTTTCAGGCTCCCTAGATCACTCACCAACTCCGAAGGACTGGCTACAAATGTTTGGGTTTTTTTTCCCCTTTTTAAACCCCCCCCCCAAAAAAAGCATTTCTGCACGCACTTCAGGACACAAAAGAGGCTTTTCTCTGAAACCTTGACTCTCCATTTCATACCCCCCCTTTTTTTTTTTTCAAAGAATGTACTAGGGGCAGCTAGCTGGTGTGGTGGATAGAACACTGGCCCTGGACTCAGGAGGACCTGAGTTCAAATCCAACCTTAGACACACACACACACACACACACACACACACACACACACACACACTCACTAATTGTGTGACTCTGGGTAAGTCACTTAACCCCATTGCCTATTCAAAATAATAATAATAATAATGTAATAAATCCTACACATTACTTACAAAACTCTTGGTTTTCTGTGCTTCCTTTCTGTTATCTTCCGCGCATTTAAAAATGTTGTAATGGCCTTGGGGGGAGGTAAACACCATTGCTTACCATCCCCTTAATTCCCACCCCTCAATTAACAAAAAGAAAAAAATCCTCTTTTAACTAATAAGCATAAGTCAAGCAAAACAAATCCACATA